ACTCGGGCAATAACAAAAAGTGTACAGCACCTTTTGCGTAGGGGCCTACCATTTAGGAATTGTGTTCATACCTGTTTTTTCCGCCGTGGCCATTTTCATCATACTTTTAGGACAGCCAACGTACGATAAAGTGTATATCATGTCAGATTGAAAATGTAGGCCTACGGTTTTTTTTATACGCCCCTACCGAAACACATTATATAATTTAAGAGTAGATAAGCTCGACCCCTCCCCCTCAATCCCCCATCCATCCTTTCCAGTTCCAGTCTTCCAGAACTAGCTGTTGTGTTGAAGTTATAACTATTTTGTCAGTGGGTTCTTCCTTCTTATGGGTGCATTGCAGCTGGTCCGAAACCCTAGATTCCCAATTCTCAAAAGGACTTAAGTTTTAGTAAGAGTTTTACGGCACTTGCGACACAATAAGGTCATATAAGGGCCGAAGATTAGAGGTGTTACAAGAGAATAACAAACATAAAAAAGAAGGAGGGGAGATAGAGACGATAGATTTTTTATAGGAAAGAAGGAGCAAACCACACCAGAGCACCCTCCAACCACCCACGGTCATATAAGCGCTGAAGGTTAGAGATGTCACTAGAGAATAACATTCACTGAAAAAAGGAACGATTAGGACGACATTTTTTTTAATATAGGAAATAAGGAGCAAACCACACCAGAGCGCCCGCCAGCCACCCATGCTGCATCTTGGAAAAGGAGCAATTTAGTTTGTTTGAGCAAAGAAAAGCCCATCGACACAGTAATGGTCATTTAGCGATGGGGAAAAAGTAAGACAGACAGACAGACAGACAGACAGACAGACAGACAGACAGACAGACAGGCAGACAGAACAAAGGGAAAGTGAAGAAATAGGACCTATCAGTGGCACCCTCCAACCACCGGCTAAAAGGAGCAATGGAGGGTGACAGCCGTTTAAGAAAGTTCAGAGGTTTTGCAATGATACAAGCTCAACTAAGAGGATGGAGAGTTTATAGGCTACACACTAACAAACAAAAATGAAGAGACTTCGTAACAGCAAAAGAAAAACATTTCTTTGTGCATAATACCTTACACTTCTGTTTTAATGCAAAGAAAATACCACTCAATCAACAGACAAATTGGAACTTCACAAAAGTCATGCAAACAAATACATTGTATTATGGCACATAACAAGGATGGGTTTTTTTTTCTCTTAGCGGGTTTAATATACACGCGTGTAAATGTATCGACGGCTGAGCGTTAGAAGTGACTATACCCACTTTTCAAATGAAAGTTATGAGAAAAATGAGTTTTAAATTTTGACGATACTGAAATCTCTGAAGCATAGCCAAAAAAGAAATGTTGATATGAGCATCTCGATAGGCCTACCTAGTTAAGCTACGGCTTAGATATTTAAAGAGGTAAAAGAAAAGGCTTAAAATCTCACACCCCTATTGATGACTACATTTTGATGAAAAGTGGATAGGCTATATAATGGTCACCTCTTGTGCTCAGCCACAGGTATATGTGATCATGGATGAGAGAGTTTGTGAGTGCCGGCAACACGAGTTAATCTGTCTACAAACAATTATGTGTGTGCCTGGGCCTGGACAAAGGCCCCAGTTGTGGGAAATTTTGGATACTAAAATAAGGGCATATTCTTGTAGTAAATTCAATGCCGAACACGCTGATTTAATTTTTATTCTTCAAATATATCTCGAGTAGTTTTAAAGATAGGCCACATTTTGTAACACAGGGTGTAAAAACAAAGTTTGGAGAAAAACCAGATTTTTAGTACATTTCAACCTTTGGTGAAGTACAATATGTTGCAAAAATAACTACTAATAAAAAAATATTTATACTTAATATCTTGTAAAATCCTTTCAATATGCAATTGAGAAGAGGTTAAAACATGTGTCTTCTGATGGTTCAACATTTTTGACTTAGTACGATAGTTTTGGCCTTTTCACCACGTCTCTAAAAAATTGCTTTGCCTACAACTGAGACCTTTCTCCAGGCACGCTCACAGTTTTCAGTCTGATTGTCCCTATTGATATGGGGTTTTTCCAGACCGGCACCTTAGGTGTAGTGGTAATGCTCTTTGTCCCTGCATGCAGAATACCTGAGTTCAATTCCTGAGTGGGAACTTCATTAAGTATCTCCATGTTGGCTCTGAAGGCTTGGTTAAAACAGCCCATCTCTTAAATGATCTACATGTAAATCCTGCAGAATGAGCCATAACGAAATAATATGTACAATCTTTGTTTTAGAGAAAGGTGACTCTTCAGTCTTTTAAAGTATTTTGATAATTTTGTAATCGTAAAATTTCACTTCAGTTGAAGGGAAAAATTGGGACGAGGGCGGGGGGATTTAACAATTCTATATCTTGTTGCAAGTTTTTTTCAATTCACTTTATACACATACAATTTGAGATACAGTCGAACCTGTCCTAATGGCCACCTGAATAAGACAATAACCTCTACAAAATGTCCCCCTCCCATTTTCTCCTTTGCATATTTTTAAAAACAATATAATGGCACTGTGTAGTGTAAGACAGCCACCTCTTAGTTTTTTAGTTTTAGTAAAGAGTTTTACGGCACTTGCAACACAATAAGGTCATATAAGTGCCGAAGATTAGAGGTGTTACAAGAGAGGAACAAACACAAAATAGAAGGAGGAGAGATCAGGACGATAGACGCCTCTCTACAACGGCCACTTTTTCTCCTCGACAAAGGGTGGCCACCTCAGACAGTTTCGACTGTACGTGAAACTGGAATAACCTTTTACATTTACATATGTGCAGAACGTTTTTCTTCTATTAAAAATATTTGACAGCCAAAAACAGAAGCCATTTACTGCCTTAAAACTATCTTTTAAAAAAATACAACAAAAATAAAACAGCATAAAACCAAGCACTACATTTCTTTTTAAATCTAAAAACTATATATACATATAAAATACAGCAACATATATTTTGAAACAGCACACCCTTAAAACTCTCATTATTCTTCAAAATAAATTCCATCTACCTTAGTCACACGATCTACTCAAACGGTTTTATAGAATTTTTGCAAAGGAATTTTATATTGCACATACAACGATGAGTATTTTGTTATTGCTTTAGAACAAAGGACTGGACTGCTATAGAGGTACACATACTGGCCTATAATATGGCGTCGGTAGTCTAGTGGTTAGGCTCTAGGACTCACAACCGTAAGGTCGTAGGTTCGAATCCCGTCAAGGGCCCGACGTTGTGTCCTTGGGAAAGGCACTTTACACGAATTTTCCTCACTTAACCCAGGTGAGAATGGGTACCCGGCTATAGACAGCGAAAGATCTTGTCAGTTTGTTAGTGTTTGAGCGCTTAATCGGCTGCTCGCACTGTATGCTTCCCGGGAAGCTGAGAATGTTTCGGAGTGTACTATGGTCTGCTGGGGTAATAATATAGTGTAAAGCGCATAGAGCCTGCTGTTGAGCGGGGATATGCGCTATACAAATGCTATCTATTATTATTATTATTATTATTATATGAGTCATTTTCCAAATAAAAAAATTAAAAAAAGAGGTCCAAAAGCATACCCCCGTATTAAATGATATGTACATCCCACAATCTATACTGGGCCTACTGATGGGGATAGGTGAAGTAATGCCAAATACTTTTGATTTATTGCAAATCTAGAACAAAACATCCCAGTTTCTTGCTCACTTATACCAGACGCTCCAGTCTCACAGTAGTAAATCTATCTCAATGCAACAACCAACAGTTCTTAAACGTAAAAAGACACCTTAATATTAAATGCCCAATTAGTACTGGATTATATGCACTTTGAGCCCGCTCCAGAATGTAAGAAATTCACCCCGTTTTATACACACGACCCACAAAACGGGTCAATTTTTAAGTTAAGAGTATAACCCTGTATTGTACAGGAGGTCGTGTTATAGGTGGGTATATAAGCTACGGTAAAAATTCTTCTACAACATTTGATCAGCAGCATGAGAATGATGCAGAACAGAATGACATGGACAACACAGAAATTTTTTTGGGGTCTTTTTTTAGTTTAGATTTAGTAAAAGTTTTACGGCGCATGCAACACAACGAATAGGTCATATAAGTGCCAAAGATTAGAGGTGTTACTAGAGAGTAATGTACAAAGAAAAGAAATAGAGCGATAATGATGATAGATCTTTGGCACCCAACCAACCATCCACCCAGAAAGTTTGTCTTACGTATATATATCTAAGTTAAAGTAAAAGAAGAAATCATCATCATCAATGCCTTTCACCCCTGGCAGGGTATAGGCCACATACAAGCTCCTTCTATTTATCTCTGTCCTGAGCCATCCTTCCAAGCTCGTTCCAAGTGAGCTTCATTTCTCTCATGTCCCTTTCCACGCATAAAAGAAGAAATAACTTCCATAAAATTCTTTGGACTGAAAGTTTTACCTTGCTCCACATCCACACAGTGATCTACAACTTTATAATATGAAATAATACACCAAAGCAGGGAGCAGAGAAGATGGAGGCCTGCTGTGGTGAGAGTGAGAGTGGGGCACCAACGGATGAACACGGCCAGGGTGACAGTTCACTACTCCTAGAATTGTAAAAGTTCTATCTGACATTTTAGGCCGTTTTGAATTCAAAAAGGCCAAAAAGTCAGAATCCAAAGGTTCCATCTGTTCTATCCAAATCATAAGATTACTCGGAGTCGTTAGCAAGATACTCAAGGAATTACATTCAGAAAAGCTTGAAATGTTGTGTTACCTTAAACTTTTAAAGCCAAATCTCTAAAAACTAGGTATTGAGAAGATAAAATTTTGTAATTCTAGGGTAGCGAGGTGACAAGATGACATCTATGACACTACTCTCTCCCTATAATGACATGTAAATAAGGAAGAAAGCAGTCTACAACACATAACATGATATATTCATTCTGTGAACAGCAAGGACAGGGAGCAGTGTTCGTCTATTTCACACAAAGTTGAAAACTGTTTTTCAACCAGTTAATGAAGATGGAAACGAATAGTTTTGTATCAACCTTTTTTTTGAGTAAAGAGATGCATATTGACAGTAATAAAGTTGTTTTGTGCAAGGAAAAAGCAAGACAGAGTATATTATACAAAAACAACAGATGCAACAAAAAGAAGTAATACTAACAGTGGGTGCCCTCCAACCCCATGTTGTATCAATAATAATAACATATATATTGCAAGTGTAAAATAAGGCACATGGTTACGGCTTGAAACTGAGACAACTTAATTAAGCATAAAATAAGAAAGACTGTAAATAAGCAATATAGCATTCATAACTTGGAAGAACAATACAAAGCACTTTTAAAGAGATAGAAACAGCACTTCAAGCTGCTGTTCTTAATAACAAATAAAGCACTTTACTGCTGTTCTTAATAACAAATAAAGCACTTTAAGGCTGTTGCGTAGAGGGTCAAAGAAAACCCTTTCTTTGAGGCTCGAATGTCAGTCTTTGAAAGGTAATGGTGTCATATTTGCTTGGAAGGAAAACGATTCACTGCATTTGCATGCAAAATTTTACAACTTCGGAGATAACAGGGCCCTGGTTTCATTTTTGTGAAACCATGTACTTCCAAGACCTATACTGCTTGCATGCTATCGAGATATTTTTGTTAGATCTTGCAATTCTCATCTTCAGAGGAAATCACTTGCAAAATTAGCATGAGGGCATTTGTTCACTTATTTCCTTTCCGAATCCTTCCCTGTTTGGTTTGAAAAAAAAAATTTAATGAGCAGCTTAGGACTATGGTATCTCCGATCTGTTGCTATGTCTCAGTTTCTCATATATTCTGATGAAATCAGGTGGGTTTTTTTCAATTACAGAATTTTGTTAGTCTGTATCCACGTTGACACACTTCTTCTACTAGCTTATTTCGAAGTAAGTCTCCGTAAGCCGATGTCTATAAGGGATATTGCGCCAAAGATAAATGCAGGTTGGTGCCTCTGCAAAAGTGGCGTCGATAGCTGGAGAATTCAAAACCAGAGTGGCAGTCCATACCACATCAGCAGAAGGCGTGGCTGGTTGACGGGGGGGGGGGGGGCACTCCAAAGGAGCACGCCTTCTGCCTGGCTCTCTTTTCTGCAGCTGTGATTAGGATCTTTTCTTTTTCTCACTAAACTTCAACTGCTTGCGGAGTACAGCACACCATCTGCCATAGTCAGTGGCAGTGTCTCCCCCAACTTTCAGAGTTGATATCTAGATCTAGAGCATATACATGTCACTCTAACAGAAATCTTTGAAGCGGAACCGACGATTCTCTTCTCAAAGACAAGTTCTCCAAATAATATCATATAATCATATCATAATATACAATAACTCTTTTCCGTCTCCTCCAGCCATCTATTATAGGGAAAGGGAAAACATTTTTTGCCATTCATACCGGACGTTCCCAACAGAAAAATGTTAAAACATCATCACCAATGCAATGCGGTATTTGTTCTGTTCTCAATTTTTGTTTAAATTCACAACCACCTTTCCCTACACCACTGGGATATTTGTTATGTTGAGCACTCTGTCTCCAGGCAGGATAACGGGTTCATAAAAATGGACGTCTTTCAACAAATATAAAAGGCTAGTTGTAAAGTTACCTAGCTAGATTTTGACCGCACCTGAGGCCGAGTATTTGAAGACAATTACAACAGTAAAAAACTGGCAATCTCACATTTTTCTGCAAACTGAAAATTTAGATCAAAGGACATTGTGCATCTTGTAGAAAACTTTAAGGTTTCTGAGTTCTACTTTTGAAATATTGATTTTGCGGTTACATTGTTATAAGAAGCATGTTTCATCTTTTTATATCATCATTGTGTTGCACAGTCAGGATTTTAAGGAGAGAACTATAGTTTAGACATCCCCAGTTTTTCCCAGTAGTCTTTAATTGCATAAAGATATATTCAAATAAATCACTTTCTAGATCTTTTTTTTTTCCTAAAGCGTTTTCCCACATCATGCCTGACTTGCATTTTTCAAATCTTATTAAGTACTAAGTTTTCTTCATCCTCCATCGGACCAGAGTACAATAAAGCTATTTCAAAGGACGGAGAGCAGACTGAAAGCATGACAATAATCGTGTATTGATTGATAATACTACCAAAGAAACCCAAAATATTTAAAGCCTGATCCGTACATGGAAAAAGGAAAGTTTCAATGTTAAAAGAGTTCATTACAAGTCCTGAAACTGAACTGTCAAAACTCGAATTTCAGCAACTTTCACATATCTATACCAAGATCAGCTTACTATGGCATGTCATACGATACGGATGGCTAAATTCCAAGTATATGTAATTCGGAATGTGATTAATTAATGAGAAAATTCCTGAAAAAAAAAAAAACAATCTTTGGCTTCTCTCGAAAAAAAAATATATACAGAATTATTGTCTCCAGTTGATGTATCACACAAGATGTAAGTTTAATTAAGAGCCACAAAAAAACAAAACAATCATGCACATTTCAACTGGAAACAGAAATAGTCCAATTCAACAGCACCAATCAGAACACTGAGAAATGCATTATTAAACTTAATTTATCAATACCATTAGGTACTTTCGAACGACTTGTAATAGGCTGGGTCTGGCACAGGAGAGGTCCTGGGATCAAAGAACTCGCTCGGCCCATCCGACTCTACGTTGCTCCCGCTATGCAGGCGCCCATTCTCCTGCTTCGGCTCAGAGTTATTAGAATCTTGGGCTACTCTCTCTTCAGTGATCACGCCACCATTTTGCCTCCTATCTCTCACTGCGACGTCATCAGAGTGAGTGTTCAGATCTCCAGATCTCAAGGGTGGTGATACACGGGAATTTCTCTTCTTTTTCTTCTGTATCAGTGGTTTTCTATCCTCGTCAAGGTGTTCAATGTCTGAGGTAAACACCTGAGAAAATAACGGACCATGTTTCTTAGTACCTATTGATTTTATTGCAGACCCCTTAAAGTGATTTTTACAGTACCTGCCAACAAAATATACAATAACAACCTTGATAACACGAACTTCACAGGACCATGGTATATCTGTGTTCAGCAGATCTACTGCTAAGGGAAGTTAAAATATATAGAATAAAGAGGTAGGAGGGTGTGTGTGTGTGTGTGTGTGTGTGTGTGTGTGTGTGTGTGTGTGTGTGTGTGTGTGTGTGTGTGTGTGTGTGTGTGTGTGTGTAAGCGTGTGTGTGTGTGTTGGGGGGGGGGGGGGGAGGCAGAAAGTTGGGGATATAGGATAAACATACTTAAACCCATTCAGTATAACAACGGCCGTTTCAGTAGTCTACACTCAGTACCACAACGGCTGAAAAGGCCCACTGCGAGAATAGCTACTTAGACACTTGCGCTCAACTTTATTGTACTGAAATATCTCCTGATCCTTAATTCTGATGGGCAGAAATTACTCTGCCAAAGAAGTAAGTCATGTATAATTTTCAGTGAGACCCATGCTGGCAGGGAATTAACTCGTGTTTTAATTTTTTATTTGGACACTGAGTAAACCAAACAGACAAGTTGATCGGACCGGGTCGTCACGTTCAGCTGTCAGCTGCGGTCAGCACGAAATGGTCTTCAAGTTTCTGGGACAATCTCACTGACAATATAAAATAGAGTTATTTCTCTTTTCCTGGTCCTGGAGCAGATTTCCACTGGTCTTCAGATTGGGTTGGGCGAATTATAGTGTCCCCATAACAAAAGTACCCAACACAAAAAGATATAAACTATAATATGTACTAATTACGGTATCAATATTACCGTTCTCGCCTTCCTCTTCCAGATGAAAATCAGAGTCAAAATGATGAGGGCTATGAATCCCCCCAGACCAAAGATGACTCCCCGCACAGTGGGCATGGCGTCAAGAGTAGACTGGACCTCATCTCGGAAGAGAGCAATTGTTTTCGCATCCATCTGGGCAAGCTGATGCATAAAGAAAGACAAAAGACATATATATAGAAACTGGGTTAAAAGTTTGTTTTAGTAGAGGTTTTACGGCGCTCGCAACTGCATAAGGTCATATGAGCGCCAGAAAATTAGATGTGTTACAAGAGTAACAAACATAAAAAAGAAGGAAGGGAGATAAGGATGATAGATCTACGTTTGAAAGGAAAGAAGAAGCAAACCACACCAGAGCACCCGCCAACCACCCACACAGGGTTAAAGAAAAATAATAAACAACAAAAAAAAGGATAAACAGACACATTTTTCTTTATCAAAAAGAAAATTCAATTAATAATTAAATAATAAATAGTATTTGTGTAGCACAAATTCCAACTCATCAGCAACCTCTATGCACTTTGAAATCTATATAATTACCCCAGCAGATCAGATAGCATCCTGAAACAATGTGGGAAGCATACAGTGCAAGCTGCCATTTCATAGTTGCTGAAACACTAACATACTGACAAGATCTTTCAATGTCTACGGCCAGGTACAATTCACACCTGCGTGAAGTGAGGAAAATTTATGTAAGGTGCCTTTTCCAAGGACAAAATGTCAGGCTGAACTGAGGCTCGAACCCCTGAATCCACTTGTTTTAGTTTTAGTAGAGGTTTTACGGCGCTCGCAACTACATAAGGTCATATGAGCGCTAAGGGTGGATGTCAACAAAGAAATCCTTACAGGGAATCATATTTACTCTGCTCACCTCTCTAGCTTCAGCAGCACAAAGTCTGCTGCGACTATCAAGGCACCCCGGAAATAGCGGGCCACAAGAGTGTGACAAACATACAAAAGAAGTAAAGGAAAATGACGATAGTAAAGATTAGGAAAGAAAAGGAAGCAGTTCCCTGTTGTAGTTCAGGCACCATTATGAGCATGACTTTGTTAGACCAGCCCATTTACAATTCTACTGTGACTAGAATGAGAAATGTCCTCCCTTTGGGAATGGCCTAAAGACACTTCAGTCAATGGCACCACCCCGGGGGTCCTGAATCCACAACCTCACGATTACTATTATTCTGGAAACCTAACTACTAACTACAATGCCCGCACACGCACGAATGCACGTGTGCACACATACAAACACACACGCAATATATTCCCACACACAAACATATACATACATAAACATATTACATTGAATACAGGGTACAAAAGAGATTAGAAGTTAATGTTTATAAGTATTTATATAATCTCATCAATTATCTTAACCCTATCCGTACGTTGTGTTTTACTATAGTACCCATTTACTTGTTAATCTGATCCGTACGCTTTGCATAGAAGTCTGTTAAAATGACTTTTTGAGAAATACTGAAAGTTTCAAAGAGATATTCATACTATAAGTACTCTGAAATGTGAAGAATACAACCGCGGTGGCACAAAATGACCCTAGGGCGTAAGGATAGGTTAATAATGGCAGCTATCTTAAATTTTATTAGTCTCATAGTTATGTATTCATTTATCATGCACACTTTGCTTCACAAGAGGGACTTACCACCCTTGAAAGTACATTGGTATGACCAATTGGTATGAATCATAAATACTTTGTTGTAAGTCATCACTGAGGGCACACAGCAGTCCACAATAACCATTTGTATTTCTTAGTCTCAGGCATATCGTAGCACTAAATTATTCCACAGGATGGTTGGCAGGTGCTCTGGTGTGGTTTGCTCCTTTCCTATCAAACACATATTATTGTCCTTATTTCTACCCTTCCTTTATTGAGTGTTACTCTCATGTATTCTCTCTAATCTTCGGCACTTATATAACTTGCTTGTGTTGCAAGTGCTGTAAAATGCTTACTAAAACAAAAAGAGCTTATTCCTTTTCAGATGACGCAACCCCCCCCCTCCGCTTTCCCAAACTAAGAATTCCCAGTGAAATGAAATCTTCATAAAACCAAATAAAGGGGGAATGCTTTTGATCTTTAGTTGCTACAGTTTGAACTTGAGCCAAGATTATCTTTAAATATGCTTATTACAAACATATACACACACAAACACACACACATGTTCACAAATATCGCTACCCTAGAATTATAAAATTCTATCTGCTCAGCACCTAGTTTTGAGAAATTAGTCACTAAAAATTTTAAGCTTCCCAACATGTCAAACTTAAAATCACAATTCTTTGAATATCTTGACAATGACTCCAAATAATCCAACGAATTGATTGAGCAGATAGAACATTTGATTTCTTATCTCACGGTCTAAAATAGAAACTCAAAAGGGCCAGAAATGTCAGATAGAACTTTGTAATTCTAAGATAGCCACATGATAAATGAACACAGAAAAACTTACCCCGTCAATCCACAGAATAGGAAGGTAGGAAACAGGAAAATTCTTGAAAGCACTGGGGAAATAGAGAATGCTGCACATGTATTTCTACATAATATATGAACAGGAATTTGTCTGAAATAATGTAACATTATGGTCATTCCATTGCTGGTCCAGGCTCCCTTTTTCCACGAGACATCAGAAGAGATCGCTCACCATATACCGAGTAGACATCAATGGATAATGGAAAGTACAACGAAAAGCTAAAAGTTAGCAGTGTATTTTAGGAAAGCCATCACATTACAATGAACAAAAGCTAAGCAATTTGAAGAACAATTTCATAAATATCTAAACTGCAGGTTCTAAAAAAGTGAAATTGCATAGTTTTAAAGTCCCTTGCAATACTGCACGATTATTCACAAGGAAGGACCTCCAGATTTAACATCCGCCTCCAATCTGATTCACAAATCTCTTTTCATAAAATAATTCCCAGGAGCCTTTTAAGTGCAGACATCCTTACAACCCTCAGTTTTTAAAGGAAATTCAAAACTGAACACAGGAGTAACATTTTTGATTCACAGAAAAATACTTCTGTTCCTCACATCTACCACAAAAAGTATGCAGAATCTTATATAATAATTAATTATAATTGCATTTATATAGAGCATATCAATACTCTACAGCATGATCTATGCGCTTTACAACTGTTATTACCCCAAGCAGACTTTAGAACACTCATAATCATTCGATGCTTACTGGGAAGCATACACTGTAAGCACCCGATTAAAAGACAGGGATGCCAAATGATTTTTGAAAAAAACCCCACTGAAAATGAGCGGAGCGTCACATCTCACCTAAAACGAACCTTAAAAAATCTTTAAAAAAGCAAACAAAAACATATCTCTAACCATTCCCCATATCCTTTGCAAGTGTATGAAAAAAACGGAGATTTGGCATCCCTGAAAAGATACAACGCTCAGACTCAAGCACCGTCAAACTGAAAAGATTTTTCGCAGGCTATGACCGAGTATCCATTCTCACCTGGGTGAAGTGAGAAAAATTTGTGTAAAGTACTTTACCCAAGAACACTTCCTTCGATCTCTGACAAGGTTCAATCTCATCACCCTTCGGTTATGAACCCAACAGCGTATCTTTCTCGAGAAAGAACGCAAACACTTGAGGAAAATACCCACCTGAAATATTCAAAGCTTTCTGTCCTCACCACCAGTTGATACCTTCGGGCTCCCTGGAGAGACACGCCTGTGAGCTGAAGTGAAAAATTACAACAGATAAGAGCAGGGTGGAATGTACGGAGGGTTAATAAATAATAATATATAGCTGCCAACTTTTAAAAACCAAAAAAACTGACTCTACCTACAAGGGAGGTTAAGATGTGGGCATCGACCAAGTAACCCCTCTCAAAACTTTCCATACACATTTTTCTGTATCTAATATTCATACTCGATACTTAACTATCGTACATTCTCATTATTAAAATAGTCTATTTGAAAATAGTCAGTGTGTGTGTGTGTGTGTGTGTGTGTGTGTGTGAGAGAGAGAGAGAGAGAGTGTGTATCATTATATATTGCATGAGAAGAAAGGAAGTAGTAAGAAAGGTTTTGAAAATGGGTATTCCAATGTAAAGCGCATTCAGCTCCTTTTTTGGAAATGCGCTATACAAATGTTATATATTATATTTTATTATATTATTCACAAATCCAGTCTTTAAAGATCATGGCAGCTACATGAGGACCAATACTAGAAAACAAAGGATACATATGTGAGGTATGGTGGTGAAATCAGGCACACAGAAAAATAATGAAATCGAAGAAACCAGCATTTTTCCGCCGGTTTAGCAAATTTAGGTTTTTTGGCTAAATATATTTTTTAAATGTCATATTTCTGTGTGGTTTCACTAAAAATAGTTAATTAAAGATACCCCAAAAAAGTAAAATTTTAGTTTCCAAGGACTCTCAAGCTTTGAAAGTCATTAATTAATGTTGGCAGCCATTTTCTTGCTAATTTAACCCCGGACACTCAGATTTTAGCCTCCATCGAAATAAATGTAAAATTTATAGACAGAGTTTTCACATTTTATTTGTATAAAATGATAGAATAAATGTTAAACTGGAAGAAAATGGCACCAGTTGATAAGTTTGTAATTTGACCCATGTGCCGATTTTCCACCGATATCTCAATTCGCAGATTGGCACATTTTGTCAGCAGACTTCACAAACAACTTACAGCGTGAATATCATAAAACGGCTGATGCTTCAATCGGTCTGGGTGCAGTCCTGTCACATGCTTGAAGTAGTAAGGGTCTCCGCCCACAAAGTGCGGCATCGACACATAAATTGGGGCATCTGAGGAAATCAAAACAAGAGTTGTAGGTCTTAGGATATAATTATATATTATTTACAGAGACAGACAAAAGGCCATGATCATGTCAATCTTTAAAAAAAAATTTTTTTTTGCAAAACATTTCGATGCGAACCACTACAAGCTGACAATTTGAAAAAGACAAGGAAAAGATTAGATCTATGCATTTGTTGCTTTTAAATGAAATTTATATCAGCAAAAAAAGTGAACCTATCTAATAATAAGAATGGAGTGTAGCAATGCTTATAGCATCAGGTTTTCCTTCTTTCTTCTTTCTTTATGAGCCTCCTTTAAAAAATATCCAAGTTAACAAGAAACAATAGTTGTTGTTTTTTTCGGTATATGCTGTAAACAAACCACAACTTTGTTTGACTCTGTGTCTAAAAAGAAGCATATCAACAGAATAATGGTCATTTAGAGCTGGAAAAAAGTACAACAGACAGAAAGAAACAACTGAGAGAAAGTTTCGACATAGGATCTGCCAGTGGCCCCCTCTTCCCCCCGCCCCCTCCCCACCCACATGGAAAGCTTCAAAGAAATCCCTACAGATGTGGTTCCTGATGTCTTTCAATAGAGTTTGGACTTACAGTTTGTGGCATCAGTCATGTTGTAGGCCCCGGATGGAATACAATGATGTATGTCCGGGGTGCAAAATCCTGCGTTATCCGGATTTTCTGAAGCTGTGGCGAACTCTGAGTAAGGCACGGTGAAGTGCAAAGTCCGCACACCCATGAAGGAAGAGCTTCCGTTGTAGCACATCTTCAGAGACCTGAAGTAAAAGGGTAAAAGAGCACTTTAGCTAACACTTTACACATCACTACATTGGCAGAACTTCTTCTTCCTTCTTCTTCTTCTTCGCATGGGTGGTTGGCGAGTGCTCTGGTGTGGTTTGCTCCTTACTTCCTATCAAACATCTATTGTCCTTATCTTTCCTACTATTTTTTTGTGTACATTACTCTTTTGTAACATATCTATTCTTCGGCACTTATATTATGACCTCATTGTGTTGCAAGTGCCGTAAAACTTTTACTAAAACTAAAAAACTCTTCTTCACGTTCCCCGGCTAGATCTAATGGGTAGTTAACTGCTGGTTTTTCAACCTGCAGTGCAACTGATTTTTACATGTGCGATTGTTTTTCCTACTTCGTAGGACCCTTTGCCTTCGGGACCCTTTACCTTCAGGCAGTCAAATTCCAATTTCGAAGGTAGTCTTTATGTTTTTAATACTGCCTGGAGAATTTTCAGTTCTGGTAGGAATTGATTTTAGTTTAGTTTTACGGCGCTCGCAACTGCATAAAGTCATATGAGTGCCAGAAGATTAGAGGTGTTACAAGAGAGTAACAAACATAAAAAAAGAAAAAAGGGAGACAAGGGCGATAGATGTTTGATAGGAAAGAAGAAGCAAACCACATCAGAGCACCCGCTAACCACCAACAGGAATTGATTTTGAATTTTGCATTAGCAGACAAGACATAAAAACACACACTTGCTCAACACCACAATCAAACATTGATGAAAACGATTTTTAATACAATAAGCAAACATCTGTGACAGGCTGGCGCGGCCATAATGGCATTAATGCATAATGCACCCCCACCCAGCTGTTGCCGTCCTGGGTAAATGAAAGCTTTTTAAAAAAAATGGAAAATAAAATCTCATTTTAGCAGTTAGAGCACATCATTAGCTCAGTTTGCAACGTGTTAGACTACAGTGTTGAAAAGTCCTGGATCCAATTCCTAAAGGAGCATTCTGGAACATGCATCATCCATTGATAACTCAATGCATTATGGTTATAGATATTCAAAGATAATGCCATCTCTCATCACTGCATGTACCATAATATTCTACATTGATCTTTAAAAATATTTCTTGATAAGCCAAGGTAGGTGTGCAGAGAGATGGCAAAAACAGAGACTTACCTTTGCAAGTATCCGTCAAAGATGGATATGCTGGTATCCTTTGTGACATATGGTGGATGTTGTGATCCATCTGTGGACAAATAAATCCCAACAGTTATCAGCTTGCTTTTCTTCACATTATCATGTGCCTTGAGCACAGAAAATTAAGAAAAACTGTATCGTTCTTTGTCTTAATTTGTCTCAGCAGGATAATAGTTTTCTGAATATACAACATATTTAGCAAATAAAAGAAAAGTAATTGATATTTTCTCTTTAAAAAAATCATTTACATTTGTAAATGTTCGGTCAAAAATCAATTAGCTTGTCAAAAATGTGAAAAACGATTGAATTCAGCAAGCCGTGTCTTTAACAGTCATGGAAAAACTCAATTAAAAAACTAAATAAATGAGCACGGAATGTGATCAAAACATGTGTGAAAAGGCGCGCACAGACACGCCCGTATCCCATTATGGCATGCTGATAGAAAGTAGTACTCCGGTTGATTGAAAATTACTGCTTTTTTTCTGCCTGTAATTCAGGTCGGTGTACCGGGGCAACGTATTATTGTTGCCGAACTGCACCACCAGTGTACCAGTGCTACGTGCTCAAAGGGTTAATAGGGACACTTGGGGCACATATCATTCTGTAAAGTTATGATAAAACCAGAGGCTATCAATAACACAGTTGTCTGTCTATCAAAATTGACATCCTCGTATGCACAAAAAGATTCTCTGTCACAAAAATAGGAAGACAAACAGTAATCTGAACAGTTTGAAAAAAAAAAAGTAATTCTGTATTAAGACTTACCTGAACCACGGATTTGATTAGCATATTCGGTGGTCCACAGGGTCAATTTCCTGAAGAAAAAAATATTTATATAATTTATACAATACGAATTGAGAAGGCAACAAAGGAAATAAATTCCACAACCTATTCTAATAAAGAGATTCACATCTATTCCTCAAAAGATACAAGGAATACACTCGTAACTTCTTTACTACCTTATTACACTTATATACTCCTAACTAAAAGAAAATTAAATCAAGAGTCTTTTTCATCTCCTTCTTTTAGAGTTCAAAGAAGCTGTACCTAAAAATTAGGTGGTAAATGTAGACACTTTTTATTTGCTGCACCAAACCTCGTTCCATAATTTTGGGTGTTAGTTGAATACATATAAGATTTTAGGTTTTTAAGCCTGATCAGTCATTGTTAACAGTATTCTGTCCTATTTGTGTACCTCAGACAATAAGATTAATTTATAACGTGGTTGCATCATTATTATGGTGCGCATTTGGGCCTTTAAAAAAATCTTTAAAACTACTCCAACCCCAACTCCTCTCCCCTTCACAAATATATGCATTCACATACCCACATAGAGTTACAAACACATACATACCCTTGCACATACACACAACAACCAATTCCATAACACATATGCATGTATATGCTCACATAATACAGCTGATGCACAGACATAGCACATGAATAGCCACACACACACATAGAAATCTTCAGACAATGGCACACATATTAGCATTCTCCCCCACACATACACACACACACACATGACCACACACACATAAAACACAACACACACAAACATACTTCAATCCATTCCAGCGATCAACCAAAATGTAGTTATCCAAATTTCCATCTAGCCCTGAGAAAACGTTGTACATGCCATCTCCTGTGTTATTGTGCTGTGGAATAAATTTAAAAAGCTGATATGAATATATAATTATGAATTACTAACCGTACGTTAGCAAAGCTGTATACAATAATGTTCACACAATTTACAAAATATTACCTCTGATGAATACATCTGTACGTAATTTGAAAATGTGATATCTCTTTGAATGTAATGCACATTTAGCAATTTTGAGAAACATGGAAATGCTTTGCATTTATTCTATTTAGTATCATTTTTTATTATAACTGGCTAATACAGTGAAGTGCCAAGAAAGCATAATTTTGCACAGTTAGGAAAATCAACCAGGCTCAATATGAGGCCTCTGCGGCTTATAACGATAATAATAATGAGAGGCAGCCTCATCAAATCAGGCGCTCGTCAAAATAATGAAATCGAAGAAAACATAATTTTTCTTCCCATTTGGCAACTTTCGTTGAATTTTCATCTTTTTGACTCAACACCATTTATGTCCATTTAAAAACAACTTGCTGTGTGCATTTTACAGACAAACGTTGATTAAAGGCACAAAAATGTATATTAACAGTTTCCAAGGACTCTCAGGCTTTGGAAGTCACCAAACTTTGGCGGCCATTTTCTCTCTTATTTTTTCCTCTGAAACTGGGTGACTTCTACCTCCATCAATCCAAAATATATCGATTTCTATTAAAGACAGATGGATAATTTTTTCATTGAAAGCAAGTCAAATGAACAAGCTTTAAGATGATACCAATAACTCCATATGTCAAAAAATTGATGAGCGCCTTTTTCCACCGCGTCATGACACAAAAAATAATAATAATAATACTAATAATACTACTGCTACTAATAATAATAATAAAATAACGGTAATAATTTAATGATATTGCAATAATCATAATCATCATCATGGTAATGTATCTGGTCATTGAAAAGTATACACAAACATTCGATAGTCAAGCATAGACTAAAATAACATAATACCCTGCCTCACCTCTATAACACTAAATTTTTGTGTGTAGTGCCAAGCAGAGGTAATTCCACATAGCCTACCTAATCTCAATTATTTAAGATATAAAAAGCAATTCAGAAGTAAGAAAATCCAAGACAATCAGAAAAGCCCCACTCTCTCTCACTTAATCTTTCTCTTTCTCTCTCTCTCTCTCTCTCTCTCGTGCGCGCGCATGCGTGTGCACACTCTCTGTCTCTATAGCTTTTAGGGAATGCGGAGGCATGTGTGTGTGCGTGTGAGGGTGGGGGGGG